TGAGTTTGATGAGCTCACTCTTAATGACCCTTGAGCCATTTTCGAGGTGCCCAAAGTCCTCAAGGAGTTTAGCATGTGCAACTTCAAGCTTCTCGTATTTTAGTTTCAAAGACATTGGCCACCTCAAGAGCCCTAATTCTAGAGCAAAAGTATCCTCAAGAGATTCCTTGGTGGTTTGTGCAAGTTCAAGAGCTTGGGAGAGGTCCGCAATCTCATTAGCGTAATCACGCTCATGACCTTCCATTTTGTCAATGGTAACCTCATGCTCCTCAAGATGAGATTCCAACTCATCAATATATTTCTTGCCCTCAATAGTAATAGACATGATTTTCATGAAGTTGGAACAAGCAATTTTATTCTTAAGAAGAGCTTTAAAAATCATTTTCCCCTTAATTTTTAAGGAGGCAACAGTATCATTCTCTTCATCATAATCAACATCATCATCATTCTTGCCATCATCAATATCATCACAAGATATACTGGGATTCAAAGTGGAGATACTGTTGAAGCCTTGGCCATAAGGCAAAATGCAATAGATGATGATGTAGGATCCCTTGAAGCACCATTCAAGACCACATCTTGCTCCATGGGGTGATGGCTTTCCTCTTGTGGAAAACCACATGTAGGTGAAGTAGAAGAAGTTGAGAACTCAACACGACCCGAGGTGGAGGGAGAACAATCATCACCACAAAAACTTGGACACGTTGTATTTATCTTGAAGCTTTGTCCACAACTCATGAGCGTCCTAGAACGGCATGAGTTGAAATATAACTACATTGCTCAAAGCATGAAAAAGCACATCAGAAGCTTGAGCATTGAGATAAGAGTTTTTCTCATCCTATAAAGATAATCTTTGGGGATCCTTTGGAGGAGAAAAACCCATATCTACAATTCTCTCTAAATTTGGGTCCATGACCCTAAAGAGATTAAGCATACGAATTACCCAAACATCAAAATTTGTGCCATCGAAACTAAGAGTGTCCGAGAATCATAAATCCCTAGTCGACATCCTTACTCTCTAGGCGGTTAAGCCCTATAAAGAGAGACGAGGCTCTAATACCAATTGAAAGATCGAGGATGTCGCCTAGAGGGGGGGTGAATAGGCGCTTTAAAATAATTACGTTTTAGGCATCAACAAATGCGAAATAAACCTAGCGGTTAATTTGTCAAGCAAAAAACCTACAACAACTAGGCTCACCTATGTGCACCAACAACGTATGCTAAGCAAGATAAACAACTAAGTGATAGCAAGATATATGACAAGAAACAATATGGTTATCACAAAGTAAAGTGCATAAGTAAAGGGCTCAGGTAAGAGATAACCGAGGCACACGGAGACGACGATGTATCCCGAAGTTCACACCCTTGCGGATGCTAATCTCCGTTTGGAGCGGTGTGGAGGCACAATGCTCCCCAAGAAGCCACTAGGGCCACCGTAATCTCCTCATGCCCTTGCACAATGCAAGATGCCATGATTCCACTAAGGGACCCTTGAGGACGGTCACCGAATCCGTACAAATGGCAACCCTTGGGGGAGGTCACCGAACTCGTACACTTTGGCAACCCTTGGGGGCAGTCATCGGTACCCGTCAAATTTCTCGGGGCAATCTCCACAACCTAATTGGAAACCCCCGACGCTTGCCCGGAGCTTTACACCATAACGATTGAGCTCCAAACACCACCAACCGTCTAGGGCACCCAAGCACCCAAGAGTAATAAGCTTCTCAACGTGTAACTTCCACATATCACCATGGAGAACTCAAACCGATGCACCAAATGCAATGGCAAGGGCACACGGAGTGCCCAAGTCCTTCTCTCCCAAATCCCACCAAAGCAACTAATGCCAGGGAACAAAATGAGAGGAAGAACGAGAAGGAGAGCACCAAGAAATCCAAGATCTAGATCCAAGGGGTTCCCCTCACATAGAGGAGAAAGTGATTGGTGGAAATGTGGATCTAGATCTCCTCTCTTTCCCCCCCCCAAAAACTAGCAACAATCCATGGAGGGATTGAGAGATAGCAAGTTCGAAGAAGGTCAACAATGGGGAAAGAACACGAGCTCAAAGGATAAGGGTCATTGGGGAAGAAGGCCCCCTTTTATAGGTGGGGAAAATCCAATCATTATGCTCACAGCCCGCACAGAGCGGTACTACCGCTAGGGCGGTGGAAGCCCTTTGAAAACAACAGCGAGGAGGCAAAAGGCCGGTAGAACCGCCGGAGCGGTACTACCTCTCGTCCTCACGGTACGACTACTAGGGGTAGCGGTACTACTGCTTGCGAGCGGTACTAAAAAAATACATCTGTGCCTACCACCGCTAGACTTATGACGAGTTTTTAGTCCGGAGCGCAAGTAGCCACGGTAGTACCGCTCCCAAGAGCGGTAGTAAAAAATTACATCACGTCCAAGCATTAATACCGCTCCCGTGAGCGGTAGTACCGCAACAACCTTTTTAAGGACACCGAAACTGACACAACTTCTGCAAACGGACTCTGAATTCAACGATACCAAGTTTGTTGAAAAGCTAGCGACAAGGGATAACACAATCTTGATATAAATAACAATAAGAAGGAAACTAGAAAAGGCCCATAAGAAAATGGTGAGAACCCTTCCTCGAATAAGACCGGTAAAACCTCCAGCGCCGAAAACACAATAGAAGAAGCATGTGAGCTCCGTTTTCGATGAACTCGAGCTTGTCAAGAAGATGACCATAGGCTCCAAATCTCACAAGGAGAAAACCAAACAAGAACAAAGAAAGATGATGCAAGCATGCAATGGTTTGAGCTCTCTACGGATGATACGATCAAGCTACTCACTTTAGAGCCCCCCTTGATAGTACGACAATCGATCCTATAACACGATCTCCAAACTACCACCATGAAACCGGTAAAATAGAGAACCTATCAAGGCCAAACCTTTGCCTTGCACAAAGTCCAGTTGAGCTAGATGTAGACGATCTTGACTTCCTCAAGTTGGACAATCTTTCTTGATTGCGTTGGCTCGGTGAAGACTACTAGATTGCTCCCCCATACTTCACTATGGGTGAACCACTCTTCGGCACACCTTCACAAGTCCATTGTCACCACAATGGATGGCAATCTTCAGGCAGTTGATCTCTTCGTGATGCATCACTTGAACGTGGACACTGCAACAGTACCATGGGATCACTTGATCCCTCTTGGTGCATCTTCTATGCTTTGTGTGTTGATCAACTTGATGCACTCTTTGACTTAGTCTTGATCAGCCTCTCACGTGACCAATCTTTAGGTAATTTCTTGAATAGCACCTTAGTCATCACAAACTCTCCTTGAAACCAACAAATGGACTCCAAGAAAAGTCTATGCACAAATCCTTCAAATATAACTCAAGGCAATCATTAGTCCATAGAGATTGTCATTAATTACCAAAACCAAACATGGGGGCACCGCATGTTCTTTCATCGGGTCATACCACTGATGGTTCATAATGAGAAGGCCCAAGAAGATGTTGAAAATGGTGGTTCATGAAGCAAGCTTACTAGGGGCCCAAGACCCGAAGGCGACTTGAGGCCCACGAGCATAAACCGTCATATGTTTAACTTGTATGTTAAGGAAAGTTTAGTTTGATCACCGAGCCGGACACGTTGTGTATGAGCCGTCCGGAACTCTGTAAGCCGTCGGGTGTCGACCTGTGTATATAAAGGGGTGACCCGACGGCGGGTTAAGGCAAGAAACAACAAGTCGAAAACTAGGTCAAGCGTTTTCGCTCCCTGATAATCGAAACCCAAACAATACAAACCTAAAGCAGGAGTGGGCTTTTACCTCGTTGAGAGGGGCCGAACCTGGGTAAAAACTCTCTGTGTCCTTTGTCCCGTTTAATCCCTTCAAGCTAACTACGTTACGATGGCTCCACACCTAAGTATTTTTGTTAGGGCATTTGCCGTGACAATTCAACGACACCAGGCATGCTTTGAGGTTCGTGCGACCACGAATTGTATATGACCCAGGCAATCAAACGGATTAGATTCTTCCTGCGTGGGCCTGGCCCGACCTAGTGCGACCAACCAAACACATCCTTATAGTATACTCCCTCTGTCCTTTGAAGAGTGTACTTCCAACATTGTTGGAAAGTCAAACATTTTTATGTTTGATCGTATTTATACAATAATACACCAATATTGAAGTCATCAAATTAGTAGCATTAGATTCATAATAAAATATATTTTCATCATATATCTATTTGGTTTCACAAACATTAATATATTTTTGCATAAACTCAGTCAGACTTTGAGATAGTTTGACCCTCCAACAATGTTGGAAGTACACTCTTTAAAGGACGGAGGGAGTAGAATAAAATGGTTTGGTTTGAAAAATCTTTATTCACCGGCGCTGCCGCGAAGACGCCACGGCGAAGCCCCACTGAACCGAGCGCACGCAGGCGACGGCACAGGTCCGGTGACGCATTGCTCTCTCCGCGCGCGCACGCACACCACGACCTGAATATAGTAGCGGACTAGTGGTCCCGTGGCAGCGCTGTTTATTCCTCCGATCCATTTGTTGCGTGACGATTTTGTACAATGCCAAAGTTAGTAGTACTCTTGGTATACGGCTGTACGTACCAACAACACCGAGCAGACCAGACTCTGCGATACGAACGACGCTTCCCTTTCAAGCCTCCCGCCCCGAGTAGAACAGAGAGGTTGGGTAGGTGGAGCGAGCCAGTACGGCTGGATCGGTCGATCGGTGCACAGCGACGACGGCGTAGGCGCCTAGCTACGACCCCACGCTGACACGTATAGGGCCCAGAGACAGTTGTACCGCCACCTGCGCCGCTCCAATCTCAATCTCCTCCTGCCTCGCTCGCCGCATCGATCCACTCCACCTCCTCTCTCTTCGACCTCCAGCACAGTCCAGAGAGACTCCCTTTATACACGCGCCTCGCTACTCCTTCCCCCGCCAGCAGCCATAGCCCACAGCTCGCTCGACGGTCGGTCGTTTCATGGTTGCCACCACCGTTCATGGGACATGCCTCCATCGCTCTCCTCCCTCCGCTCCTTCTTCACGAGCACGCTGGGCCTGGGCTCGGGCGCCGCGGAGCACAGCGGGGATGAGGAGTCGCAGTCTCAGGCCGGCGGGGCTGGCGGGCCGTCGAGCGGCAGCCGGCCGGTGGCGGGGCCTCCGGGCGAGTGCTACGCGTGCACGCAGCCCGGGGTGCCGGCGTTCCACTCCACGACGTGCGACCAGGTGCACTCGCCGGGCTGGGACGCCGACGCCGGCTCCTCGCTAGTGCCCGTGCAGGCGCAGCAGCTGCGTGCCCAGCCGCTCCCGGGGGCCGCCGCAGTCGCCGCCGCGCGGTGGCTGTTCGGGCCGGTGCTCGACCCGCGGAGCAAGCGCGTGCAGCGCTGGAACCGCTGGATCCTGCTGGGCCGCGCCGCCGCCCTGGCCGTGGACCCGCTCTTCTTCTACGCGCTCTCCATCGGCCGCGCTGGGCGCCCCTGCATGTACATGGACGCCGGGCTCGCCGCCGCCGTCACCGCGCTGCGCACCTGCGCCGACGTGGCCCACCTCGGCCACGTCCTCGTCCAGTTCCGCCTCGCCTACGTCTCCCGCGAGTCGCTCGTCGTCGGCTGCGGCAAGCTGGTCTGGGACCCGCGCGCCATCGCCGCGCACTACGCCCGCTCCCTCAAGGGCCTCTGGTTCGACCTCTTCGTCATCCTCCCCATCCCCCAGGTCAGTCAGCCTAGCTCTCTCAATTCAGTGCCCACCTGTGCATGACCTGGAACCTCGATTTACCACCATTTTCCACCATGGAAATCAAGCTCTGAGCCATCGAACCAACCGCTAGAACGACATGCCGCGCCCAAGTAGGTGGGAAATGAAATGCGGGAGAACTATGGGCGTCGCCCCATGTCTGGTTCCTAGACAGACCACAGCGTCCTTGTCGGAAATGTTAGCAGTAGGGCACACTACATGGCACGTACAACAGTGCCCACCAGCCAGTTCATCTGTAAATTTATTTGCAGGTTGCCACCTATGCCTTGGTACGTACGTGTCCATGTGTCTACTGGCAGCGACGCGACGCTGCAGCCCCCACCAGCTTACTAGAATGGCCCTGACCCTAGAAGAGAAGAGAATTCCGATCAAAACTAGCAGCGGGGCGACAGAGACCGATGCGCTTACGCTTACGGAATACGTAATAAGTACGGATGGTTAGCGGGATGCCGCCAACGCGAAATGATTGGTGTCGCTCAGAATATGACCGTGGATGCGATCGGGCGGCGACGATCACTGAACATTGATGGAGGGAAATAACAAGGACAATGACAGATGAATTATGCGTCTTGATCTCATCTGCATGCGCGGCGCTCATGGTAGGGGCGACTTGGCAGCAAGGAGGCGACGAGCATTATTTAGAGGTGTAAAATTGTGATTTATCATGCAGTGTAGTGACAGAGATCTCATTTCACCACTCCCGCTCTCGTGTGGCTGGTGTTCCTGCAACTGACTTATTTTTCGCTGATTAATTATTTACCGGTCTTTGTCGTCCAGATCGATCAGCCGGTCATTCTTGGTTTTTGTCGTGTGATATTGAGTGCATGTTCATTCTCTCATTTCGCATAATTGATGCTGTCATTTTTACGCGGGGCGTTCGACGTGGAGTAGTATCTGCCTATTTGGATCAGCCATGGCCACAAAATGTTATTTCTGTCTCTTTTTTTTTTCGAGTTCTGTCTTTTTCATTATTTATGTGACGGTATACATGAAAGGTGAAGAGAAGTTATTGTTTGAAAGGACCGCTGAATAATCTGCATGGTGGAATTAGGCATATTCTTTGTCTTTACTTGCTTACCTGCATGAAATACGGAAAATAAGCCAGCACAGAGTGACCGGCAAGTTTTTTTTTCGTAAATACAACTGTATTGTCGGAAAGTTTGCGTTCTGAAAGTGGGGTGTTGAGAAAATATGCTTATGATCATGGTGCGGTAGATTCTAGTTATCGTAACATATTAGCTATGTGTTGAAGATTTATTCTTGAAGGCAAATAGAGAAACTATCATAAGCTGCCGAAGATAGAATTTGAACACATTCTTTTCTGTGCGGCAATACTTCCACTGAGTCTGTATGTGTGTAGTGAAAAAGTAGCAATGTATAGAAACTTGGAGAATTCTGAACTCTTTTACATTGCTTTTTTTCAACTAACTGATCTATCATATTCTGCAGATCATCTTCTGGCTGGTTATACCAAAGTTAATCAGAGAAGAGCAAGTTAAAGTTATCATGACGATTCTTCTGCTCATATTCGTATTGCAATTTCTGCCCAAGGTGTACCATAGTATATATATCATGAGGAAAATGCAGAAGGTGACAGGTTACATCTTTGGAACAGTATGGTGGGGATTTGGTCTGAATCTATTTGCCTATTTCATTGCTTCTCATGTGAGTATTCCCTCTTCCATTAGTTATTTGGAGAATATAAAACAAAATCATGGATAAGGGATCCCAGAGTGGCTCGTGTACTTTTATTGGGTGCAATTTATTGCAATCATAGATATCTGGTTGTTAGTTTGGTCAATGATGTTTCTGAATTTACACCGCACCTAGCAGTATTCTTTTCTAAGAAAATCAAGGGTTGGGTCACAGTATCTGCAAACAGTCCTGCTTAAATTGCCTATGAAGCAATAATTGTTTCAAGGGGAAATACCAAACTGTTGCTGGTGATATTAGAAAATTTGAATCAATAGATGCACTGTTTATATTAAATAAAATACCATTCTCCATATCAATGCTGAACAGGAAATCTGTTCAGACAATCAGTTCTATCATGTTGTTGAATGCTGGTTACATAAAAGTAGGCTATTGGTCGATAGATCAATATGCAGAACAGAAAAAAAAAGGAAGTAGGATGCACATTAAATCCCCTTTGTGGAATTTCTCATGACATGAGGCCACAGTTGGTGCTAATTGAAGGGACCATGCATGCTAAATTATTATAGGCAGTGTTCATTATTCATATGTGTCTTTCATTTCCAGATTGCAGGTGGATGTTGGTATGTTCTTGCGATTCAGCGCGTTGCGTCCTGCCTACAATCGGAATGCGAGATAAAAAACAACTGCAATTTGATGTCACTGGCTTGCTCTAAGGAGATGTGCTTTCACTTTCCTTGGTCATCAGACATGACCGCATTGGCATGCGATACGAACTTAACTTCTTTCAGTCAACAAAATGTGCCGGACTGTCTAAGTGGCAATGGCGCCTTTGCTTATGGGATCTACAAGGGAGCCCTTCCTGTTATCTCCAGCAATTCACTTGCTGTCAAAATTCTCTATCCCATATTCTGGGGCCTCATGACCCTCAGGTAATTTGTATATTATGTTAAATCAATATCATCCATTTCTGACATGGGAAATGTTTTCCTCCCTGAAACTTGAATATCTGAATGTTCGGTACTTGGCTCGGCTGTCATTCCGGTTATCATTCTATCTGAATATGCACATTCCTGACAGATTTATATGCCAGGAATTTGCTCAGTTTCTTAGTTCAGAAAAACAATGGTTCTGTTCCATTGTTGTTGTGTGCACCTGTTGTCTTATTAATTGTTCCTTTATGAAGACAAAAGATAATTAGTACAGTATATTGCTCTACCACCACCTCTGCTCGCTTATTGTCTCACACTGTTTGTATGAATCAACTGGCAGTACTTTTGGCAATGATCTTGAGCCGACGAGCAATTGGCTTGAGGTGATATTCAGCATCATCAATGTACTCAGTGGGCTGATGCTCTTCACGCTACTGATCGGAAACATACAGGTGTGAAGTGCCGCCAATCTTTCTGCCGTTCAGTTCATTTTTACTGCAGCTAGCTAGCGTCAGTTACTTCAGTAATCAGTAACAAGTAACGGTGCATTTTTGCTGCAGGTATTCTTGCACGCCGTGCTGGCGAGGAAGCGGAAGATGCAGCTGCGGTTCCGGGACATGGAGTGGTGGATGAGGCGGCGGCAGCTGCCGTCCCGGCTGCGGCAGCGGGTCCGCAAGTACGAGCGCGAGCGGTGGGCGGCCATCACCGGCGACGAGGAGATGGAGATGATCAAGGACCTGCCGGAGGGCCTGCGGCGGGACATCAAGCGGTACCTCTGCCTGGAGCTGGTGAAGCAGGTGCCGCTGTTCCACGGCATGGACGAGCTGATCCTGGACAACATCTGCGACCGGCTCCGGCCGCTGGTGTTCTGCGGCGGCGAGAAGGTGATCCGGGAGGGCGACCCGGTGCAGCGCATGGTGTTCATCCTGCAGGGGCGGCTGCGGAGCACGCAGCCGCTGACCAAGGGCGTGGTGGCGGAGTGCGTGCTGGGGGCCGGGAGCTTCCTGGGCGACGAGCTGCTGTCGTGGTGCCTGCGCCGGCCGTTCGTGGACCGGCTGCCGGCGTCGTCGGCCACGTTCGAGTGCGTGGAGGCGGCGCAGGCCTTCTGCCTCGACGCGCCGGACCTGCGGTACATCACGGAGCACTTCCGGTACAAGTTCGCCAACGACAAGCTCAAGCGCACGGCGCGCTACTACTCGTCCAACTGGCGGACGTGGGCGGCCGTCAACGTGCAGCTCGCGTGGCGGCGGTACAGGGCGAGGGTGATGGCGACGGCGGTGCTCCCGCCGCCGCCGGCCGGCGCGGCGGGGCCCGAGGACGGGGACCGCCGGCTGCGCCATTACGCGGCCATGTTCATGTCGCTCAGGCCGCACGACCACCTCGAGTAGGCTCGGGACCGATCGGGTGAGTGGGGGGCGTGGATGCAGAGGGACCATGGTTTGTACAATGTGTATCTGTCACGTTGTAGATGACAAGGCTCGCCATTTATTAAGGATGATGAGATCAGTACAATAATGGAGGTGGAGGTGGTATTTCTTGGTTGGTTTTGCCGATGGATTTTGCAGCCAGGATTTTTCGCAAGCAAGGATGGGACGTCCCCGTCGTAGGTGAAGGCGCGGGGGATTTCTCCGGGAGACGTGCAGATCCTTGCGTACCTTGCGTTGCCCCGGGCAACTCGTAGGTTCCTACACTCCTCCACACGGTTCCAATGTTGCTAGGCGAAAAGGAGGCGACCGCGGGTGGCCTTTGCGAATTGTGAGCCGCCTTCGCCGCTGCTGGTTCCCTCTCCCTCAGTTGTCTGCTTCGGCAGCGGGAGGGAGGGGGGACCTCGGGTATGTGCATCAAGATGGGTTCTCAGTAGGGTTAGGGTTGAGGGAGTCGCTGCCGAGGTCGTTGCGGTGGCGTCGCGTCTGAATAAGTTTTTCCGGGCTCCGTTCGCGGTCACGCGAGGCTCGTGCCTTCGTCTAGGAGCCAGCGGGGTGGGGGATCTCCGGATCTCGTCGAGGTCGCGGGCTATGGTGTTTGGAGGTCGACTGGCACTGACCGGGTTGGTCCTTGGATGGGTGGTGGTTGTGTGGACACGGAGATCCTTCTTCCTCATCGTCGGTATGATTTCCTACTGCGTTTCTTCTTCCTTCTTTCTGTTGTTGCTGGAGGGATGTCATGCTTTGCCCGGGCAGTTGGCTCGACCGCGGCGGCGGAACCATATCCCAGTTCTCTTTCATGTGGAAGGGGCATATACATCGGTACGCAAAGCCACAGATGGCGAAGACTGGTGCATGCATGTTGGATGCATGTGTGTGTCCTTGTCTTTTCGGTGCCGGAGTTAAGAAAAGGGGAAGCAGCGTGGCGGCGAATATACCGTTGTTGAAGATGATGACCTGGTTGGGGTTGTTTGCAGATTCTTGTGTTGCAGGAGTCTTCTCGCAAGGTTCAGGGTTGCCGACATAGAGCTCCGGAGATCTTCGTGTTTTACTTGTTTTTAGGGTGCTCTTTGTTATTCTGCTTCTTTATGCGTGTGTTAGGGTGTGCTTGTATGGATCTAGTACTTTGTATTATTTTGTGATTTGAATACAAGCATATTTTTCTCAAAAAAAAGGAGCGAGACATTGCGTGGGCAATGTCTTCACTCTTTAGCACCGGTCTTGGCCGCCGATTGCCGTTTCTAGCAGCAGTGGCAGACCTAAAATCTCATCCTTGGGGGTGGCACCATTCAAAATTTGTGAAATTTTTCGCTATATGTTGTATAATTTGGTCTGACTGCATCGAATTTCAATAAGTAATCTTAAAGCATCAACTTTTAAATATTGGTTAAATAATTTGTCAATCACGTATTTGATCGCTTCAGGTTTTTTTCCTCACTTAGGCATAGATTTGGTCTTACGTGACTTTACTATTTGTTGGCGTATTTTTGTGTGTATGCATCCCTCACTTATGCATCCTACCTATTGAGAGGTCGGGTGTATGCTCATTGTGTTTGTATCCTCTTGATACTTTATTTTGAGTTAATAAAATCTACCCTTTGTCGAAAAAACATTGTAAAAACTATTTTGCATTGGATTCCAGATCTGCCACAGCAAGGGCGTTGGTGGTTGGGGGCGGCACAGCTGCCTCGCAATTGCTAGTGGCTGGTCCTGGTGGTGGAGAGTGTGGCGGTGGCCATGGCCACGACCACTGACATCTCTCTCATTGCCAGCAACAGGAGGATACTCTCCTCCTCACACCGAGTAGGGGTACAAATCTCGATGTATGGGCCTATCATCCAAGAGCTATACAAGCAACACAAGAAAAAGAACGATGGCAAGGGCTTCACATTGCATCATTGCTACAAAGAACCTGCCAACAATGAGAAGTGGGTTAGGAGAAACTTCTAGACCACACCGAGGAGGTCAAGGATAAGCATATCTGTTGAAGCTGATGACGAGGAAGATGAAAATCTCAACAAGAGGTCGGATGGTAACAAGATTGCAAAAGAGAGGAAATAAGAGATGAGCCTTCAGTGGAACCTGCAAGGAAGAGCTTGTGGCCATGACTGGGACCAAGAAAGCATTGGCAGCCGAACGCAAAGAAGAGAAGGCGGCAAGGTGGAATGAGCTCAAGTCTTTGGACATCGAGAAATGGAGGTTGAAGTTAGCACCCTAAGAGAGGAAGTTGAAGGTGGAAGAGTGTAGGCTTGCACTCGAGGAGGAGAGACTTGTGAAAGGGAAGAAGGCCGAAGAACGATCATGAACCAAACGGAGGTCTCTCTTAAGAATGGTGGTGGTGACCGTGTGGATAGCGGGGTGATGGTGTTGATGGTGATGGCCGTGGGATGGTAGTGTCCTTGAAGGTGGTCATGATTTCTTTAGTGATGATGGTGCTTGAGTTCGTGTTACATGTCTTTGGTTGGGCTCGATCCATACGTAAGACATGCTATGTTGTGATGATTTTGGATCAAACTTGATCGATGTGACGCCTTTTGGATGAACTATATGCATGTTTAATTTGAATTGCTCGATCCATGCAACTATGTGCATGTTCATGGTTGATCTATTGTATACGTTAAATTTGAATCATTCGGATGGTTGATGAAATAGTGTGCAATTGCTCTCTTTAAATCATTATTAATTTGTAAGGAGTTAATACAAGGGACCGACTAGAACAACCACCCTTTAAATCCTTATTAACTTATAATGCGTTAAAGATACTCGACCGTTTGCTTCTCTAAATCATAAGGAATTCGTTATAGATGCTCTTAGGTCGTTAAGTTCTTTCGTTTGGGTGATGTCTCATACACATTGTATGGGTCCCGTCTTCTATGATGATACTCCCTCCGTTCCTTTGTATAAGGTGTATTTGTTTTTTGATAAAAATTTATAATGTAAGGTGCATTTGTTCTAATTCTCGTAATTTCAATATTGACCTTTCATGTAGAGAAAGAAAAAGAAACTATCTCTCTTCCGATTGTGTGTGTCTCTTCCTTTCCTAGCATAAATAATTTACTTGCCGCTAATCAACAAATTAGAGAAGAGTAATTTTGTCGTATCTAGTGCATAATTATGTGCCTTGGTCATCATGCTGAAAATAATACACCTTAGATAAAGGAATGGGGAGAGTATATGTTTTCTCTCTTATTATTGCATGCATCGCCCAGATGCAGAGGTCGGGGGTATATCCTCCTTTTCTAAAAAAAATATTTCTCTCTTAATGAATCGACATTGCCGCTTTCCTGTATGGTTCAGGAAAAAAAATTTCTCTTACTGACACCCAGGTTGCCCTACCAGTTACATCGTTCCCGACCGCCGGTCTAGCAACTCGTGACGAATGCCGACATAGTCACGAGACGAACTTCCCACATTCACAGTTCATAGCCTTTCAGTCGAGTTTTCGCTTGTGTACAATTACGAGGGTAATACTAATACCCCCTTCATTTTCTTTTTATTTTGTAGATAAGATTTGTGTCAAGTTAAATTTTATAAATTTTGATCAAATATATATTAAAAAATATCAACATCCACGATACCAAATATACAAAATATGAAGCTACATTCCATAATGAATATGATGATATTGATTTGGTTTTATGAATGTTGATTGATATTTTTTTAAAGTTTGATCAAATTAGAGGTACTTTGACTTCAAACAAAAATTATATGCATACTACTCCCTCCGTTTTTTTATCTAAGGTGTATTATTTTTGGCACGGTGACCGAGGCACATAATTATAGATGTGTTAGGATGAAATTATCCTTAGCAAATTTATTGGTTAGTGGCAAGTAAATCAGTTAGTCCAGGAAAAAAAAGATATACATGCAATCGACCTAGAAATAGTTTCCTTCTTTTGCTACAAAGAAAGATATAGACAATTAGGTGAGAGATACTTTCCTTTTTTCAAAGAGCTAACAAAAAAATTATGAAAAATTAGAAGAAATGCACCTTGGAATTTTATATAAAAAAATACACCTTAACAGAGGGAGTACTACCCCGGGCTACGTTGTAGAGGAGAAACTGTCCGCGGCCACCGGAGACCGGGTTACGCCGGCGAGGAGGCAAATGCAACACATACAAGAAGCACACATTCTGAATCTGTACAGGAGCATACGGGCAAGCAAGCCCGCGCCTCATCCCTCCCAGTCCCGCGCCTCATCTCTCTCGGTCCAGATTAGAGCATCTCCAACGGCCGCGCAAAAAGAGCAGTTTTTAGCGCACGCGGGACGTTTTGCCGCGCTCCAGCGGTGACGGGAAACTCGTGCGCGGGGGAACTGCTTACGCGCGCGCGAAAAGGCGGCAGCTCGCGCGCCATTTTTGGTGCCCCCTTCTGGCGCGCCTATAAAATGCGGCGCTCGCCACACGCCTTTTCCACGACTCCTCTTTCTCTTCCTCTGCCACGCGCCTCCACCGCTCCAGCGCCCCGCCACCGACGCGCCACCATGCCGCCGCGCTGCCGAGGAGCGTCGGGCTACCGCGGCGTCCGCCTGCGCCCCAACGGCGGGTACTACTCTGAAATATGCTCCGGCGATCTCCGGCTCGGCCTCGCACCTACGGGACGGCGCGCGAGGCCGCCCGCGCGTACGCGGCGGCGTGGCGCCTAGGCAGGCCGCGCGGGCAGATGAATTTCCAGGACGTCTACACGCTCCAGCAGGCGCTCGACGTCGCCCTGCCGCCTCGTCTTAACACGGCACAAGACCGTGCGAAGCACGCTGAGCGGCAGCGCCGCCTCCTCGTCGCCCAGGAGGACGAGCGGGTCATGGCGGAGTGGCGCCGGCGTCACCCGGAGGACGTCGCCTACGAGCAAGTCTACTGGGCAAGGCGCCGCGAGGAGGACACGCGAAGGCGCCGCGAGGAGCGGTTGGACAGGCGTCGGTGGAAGGCATTGGCGAATGCGCAGTCGGATATCGTTGCAACAGGT